ACTGTTTTGCAAACTTCCCTCCTTCCCCTTGCCAAAATAGTTCCCACTTGTCAATTTAAGAAATGGGCCACTGGCGTAAAGCCAGCAGAGGGAGCATAAATGCCGGAGAAGTTTTCAGGCAACATCTATGTAAACAATTATTGTTGTCTTGTTTTCATTTCTAAGCAACAAATCCTCAGAGACACATACATCGCATACAGACAATATCTGGACAGCCTTCCAACCCCTCCTCTCCAGATTATAATGGTCTATATTTTCTCCATGTATAAAGGAACAATATTTTACAGATTGCTAATAGAAGATACTTTCATTTGGAAGATAACATGTTTTTAATGACTCTATTAAGTAATTATCTAATGTCATAAAGTGAATTCCTTTTTGGAAAGAAGTTCAGGTTCCTGAGCTTCCATCTGCAGTACATGTTCACTACAGTCTAGAGGCTTTCAGACTGACAGAAGTACATAATCAATCAATACATACACAGTAATCTGTATTTTCCTTTTGTGCTATGCAGTGGGTCAGGGCTGTCAATGTTTTTGGTTTGTTTGCAAACAAATCAAACCTACTGATCTGTGCACTGAGACTGCCAACCTATGTGTCAACTTTGGCAACTGAGAGACTGGCATTTGTATTAATCCCTTTATTCAGTTCTCAAAGAAAAATCTGCAATAAAGACTTGTTTGATCTCAGAAAAAAGGCAGTACTTGTGTTTTCACAGTATTTCGCTGTTATTTTCAAACCTCTAATCACTAATTGATCCTACAGTTCTTAAGGCAAATCCCTGTTTTCCTCATAAGTATTCTCCTAGGATGGGCTCATTCTGCATAATTTCAAAGAAAGATCTTTGTTTTTCTCTTCAGATGAAGGAGGGTAGAAATCATGACTTCTAATAGCTTCTCACCCATTTGAAGGCCTTGCAGACCTTGCAGGGCAGTTAAGTTTGAATCTCTCTCTAGCACTAGGGAGATTTTTGCCACAAGAACCTGTTTCTTTACACAGAACTAAAGTATTATCAGCATAGGTGGTGAGAATGGTGCTTGGTAAAAATCGATTTGTGGGGAGTAGCATGATCAAGTAAATCACAGTTCTCTGCTCCTGACTTGGAATTCTGTGCAACCTGCTTTAGTTTAAGGGATGGGGGCAGCATGGGGATATTGTCCTGTGTTCCTAGGTGTTTTACAGGTCATTACAAGATCACAATTAACTTATGGGAAGCTTGGTTTGATCCTTGAGTGCTCAGCTAACAGTGGAGTGTCCAGTGTTACTCAGAGTACTTTCATAGCCACTGTATGGTCAGGAAGAAAAGGTCTGAATGTTCATGAGTCTGACCAGGAAAAGGGGAGTTCATCCATTCATCATTCTACACAGTGTATTTTCTGGACACTTCTGAACAAGAGCACAGGCAGAGTATAGATGAGAACTATAGCAGATGAGAATGTCCAAAAGACAATCTTTCTTTGCAAGAAGATGACAGCTGCAATGCCAAAATTGCATCTGTCTGGAAAAGAACTTACTGCGTTATCTAAAAGCAGTTCAGTGCAGGATTTGCATTAGAATCTACAAAAGACTGAAAGCAAAAATGGTCCAGGAACTTGAATAGCTTCTTGCGGATTTTCAGACTCTTGAAGTTTTCATTTGAAGTGCCAAGTTTGCCTTTTGAAGAAGGATGGTGTGCAATATTAGAGACCTAATAAAAGTCAATGAAAGACTAATGACATCCTGAGCTTGTGTCTTCTGAATTTGCTGTTACAACCTCTAGGATCATCTCCTCCACCCCCACCACTTAATCCAAGGGCAATTACAAACCTCATCCAGGGATCACATAGTGAGATGCCTCCATATAGACGGGGGGTGTCTGGACAGCACAGCTGCAGGCTCTTGGGCAGCTTGGGATAAAGGAAGGGAAGAAACCATAGATGAGATATATGGAGAGAAGCCTGGTTCTCTCCAAATATCACTAGGATTTCCTTTTGAACACATACCTTGTCTTTTTACAAATGAGTATTCTAGTCCTTCAATAAACACCTACGTAAGAAGACTCATGTAGATTTTTGTGGTTTTAGCTTCAACACACTTCTCTCAAATGACTGCTGGAGGATCAGAAGTGGAACCAAAAGAAGCAGGTTCACTTCAGCAGTTTCTGGAGTCCCAGTGTGGTGCCAGAGCTGCCCCATCAGCCCAGGCTGGGGAGTGCACGAGGGTTTAGAGCTTGCAGTCCAGTCCAGCCCTGTGGAGGCAGACGACTCGACACCAAGCAGGCTAACTTCACCTTGGAAAACGGCAAGAGCTAAAGTGACTTCTGAGATTAGTGTAATTTAATTATGCTTCTAAACGAGGCTCTTCACACTCAGCAAAAAGATTACTCGAAGGAAGGAATTTGCTCTCTTACAAGTGCTTTCCAAAAGGCAATAATTTAAAGCAATCTCCCCTCTTCCTTACAAATCACATTATTTAAAAACTGCAGTTCACATCCGAAACCCCTGATGAGTCATTTCCCATACCAAACATGGGCTGAACTGGCAACTTGTGGTGTTTGTTCCAGCTATGGAGTCAGCAAACCCAGACCATTTTATAATGACGGATCCTGGCTGTTGGTGCTGCTGATTAACGCATTCAGATGCTCAGCCATTCGTATTGAAGGGAAGACAAAAACGTTATTAGAGCTTTTTCATTTATTACACGCAGGGTCCTCCAACAGCTGAGGGAAGTGCTTACACATACAAATATGCCAAAAATGGATAGATATGAACTCAACAAAAATACTTTAATCTTTCAGGAAAAAAAAAATCACGCATTATAATACAGATTAAGAGTAAGGTCCTATCATATTTGCCTTTGAAGTGAGCTCGTAACTTGTATTTAAGTTCAGCATCACTCAGGAACCTTTCCTCAAGTCCAGATCTCTCAGCTAGTGTACCAACCTTATACCTTATATAGTACCTTGTTTTCCAGTACTGCAAGTGGATAATACTGTAAGTATCCAAGTAGTAACAACAAAGTGGTTTAGTCTTCAAAAGTCCATTTGTTCCACTAAAGGTGCACTATTAAAACAATAAATGTATTTAAGAAAATAATTGTAACTGTCATATTGCAGCTTGTTCCATTTCACTGTGCTAATTGTGTCAATTCAGGTTAAAAATGTTAACAAAATATTGCCCTAGGCACAGTATTTGGGATTAGTTGTTAAGGCTGGAAATTTTTGCATGTTTCACAGCAAACATTATCCTCAGTTGTTGAACCAGAGGAGAGAGATCCATGCTTCCCTTAGGCACTGACCTCCCCACCAATAAAGAACGGCAGTGCAAAAAAATCAAACAGCTCCCTTGCCACCTGGACAGAAGCCAGTCTTAAAGGAGCAGCACAACCTTCTCCTGTGGAAAGAGGACGTCATTTAACCCCTGCCCCCAGCTCCGCCGGAGGAACACCTTCCCTGTTTCTACTGTGATCTGCATATGAAACGTCCTTCCATTTTGCTTTTATTTATTATTGTAACAGCTCAGCCTATAGTTTGCATTTTATAGAGATGCAGAAAACCAGTATCCTACACTGAAGTCCTGTATTCTGCAGCTAGCAGCACACACAGAAAAGTCAAGATTACTTTCTGACATTTCCCAGTTCACACAGTGTAATGTGATGCATTTTGGTGAACTCGTGAACCTTGTAGAAAACTCGGTTAACAATCAATCTGTATTCAGGTATATTTAAGTTCTTCAGGGCCAACTGCCCTACCTTATTTGTACTGTAACACACTGGGCATTTAATTTCACAGCATCTAGAATAATTGTAGAATTGCTGGTTAAAACCTTCAGGGCTTTATTAGCATTGTTGCTCCCACCTGTGAGTAGGTGGATAGTTGTTAATACTGTGTGTCCAGGAAAACAAGGACTTGAAGTTCCAATTTAAGAACCAGCCAGCCCTCCCACACAGAGAATGATGAAGTTCACTTTTCCATACAGCATTTGTATGGCAACAGTTAAAATCACTTTAAAAAATGGTACCAAAATTCTGAAGCTTCATTTTAGATACTGAAGATGGATGAATACAGATGTAGTTCTCAAGTATTTTACAGATTTTTGCCAGCTAAAGCCATAAAGAGATCATAGTACTAGGCTGAAGTTATGCTGTATATAAACTCCAGAAACTAGAAGGGTAGTAGTTACTGATCATCATGTTTCTTCTGATAATTGCTACACTATTGTGGCATCACAAGAATCGGATCTAAACTACTAGCTGCCAGCACCACGTCTAAGAGATCTGAAAGTTCCACATCGGTTTGAGAGTTCGTAGTTACCCAGTGAGCTCCAACAAAGACAACCCAACATATCTCATTAGACTGACTGATTAGACTATGTGATATTTTTATAAGCTTATTTTATTCTTTGCTGTACAAATGCAGAAATGCAAACTATCTCAATAAATCTACATCAGTAACTACCCAGACATGGTACAGATATATACAAAAAACTGTTATTTAACTTCAGTGTTGATACCACAGGTCATGCAGAGCTGGATGCAAACAATGCAAACAGCATCTACACAGTGTAAGGCATAACTTGCATATTTACATCTTGTTCCTTATAGCGAAGGCTTCCGATGCACCAGTTCTTTGTTACACTCGTATCCGACAATCCTGCTTAGTAGCAGCGCAGCCTCAGAACTGTAAAGTGCTTTTCTTTATTATATACATTCTCAGAAGGATTGTGGATCCTTCCAGAAATCATCATTTTTAGATATAATTAATTGCCTATGTTTTCCATCAATTATTTCATAAGCTAAAAATACTGTTTTCCCAAAGGTCTGTAGATCACATGCAATTATGAAAACAAAGCTCCTAAAAGCAACTCTAGGAACTGTCCTCTTTTGACTTGGGAAGATGAGCAATCCTGTGAAAGCACTTAACTTTGGAACATTTCAGGTCAGTATGTCTGCAGATCCAAGCAGCTTTGGAGCAGCTCTATAATACAGATATTTACATTCTATATTAGATTTTTGAGTTGTAACTAATCTGTCAACTCAGGTGGTTTCTTTTCTTCCCGCGGAGATCTCACTTTGAAAGTAAAAAAAGGAATACAATTACTGTTGCTGTAGGAAATATAATTGAATCATTTTGCAAGCAAAATAATGGGGAAAGAAAAACCAAACCAAAACAAACAAACAAAAAAAAACAAAAAAAACCCCAACCCCAAAAAACCTAAGACTAAAAAGTCAGCTCTTCCCCTCAACTAAAAAGCAGCAGTGCTAAAAATAATTTATCTTTTGTGTTCTGAGCTACTGCAGTTCCTGCCACATTTATTTTTAAATCACAACATCCTGCAGCACTGGGGCTCTTGAGAGACAATATTCCAACCAGTCTTGGTTCAGGAGATTGAAATACTACCTCTCTCGTCTGTTGGCCCTCAGACAGGGCAGCAATGAGCAAAAGCAGCACATTCTCTTGTTTGAAACAGCATCTTAACTCTCGTGACAACTATTTCAGCAAGCTGCTGGACTCTGCAGCGAGGCAGCTGAGAACTGACACACATTGTTCCATCTGCAGAGCACAACTCCGACAGGAAACCAGTAACAAGCAAAGGAAGGAAAGGGTCAGGAAAGAAGAGTGCCTTGCCATGTGTGCACGTGCCTGGTGCTCTGACCTCCTGCTGTTGTGAGGTGACACACCAGTACAGACTTCTCTTTTAGGCATCTCATTTACTCCCACACATCTTGGTCATAAACTATGCTCAGAAAATTCTCTTTGCGCAGTACAGTCTTCAACTTTATCAGAACGGTATGACCATCTTTAAAGAAAATATTACACGGGGATAAAAGTGTAACTGAAGGACACTACCTTCATCAGGAGGATCTGCAGGCTCAGTTTCAGGAGTGACTGTATCCGTATCTTCAAAAGTTTTGGCACCTGGCTTCTCTGGTTCCACCTCACACAGATACACATCAATGGGTCCTTTTGTGCTCTTCACATGTACTGCTACGCAGTCCTACAAAACAGCAACTTGCATATAAACTAAAGAACAAATCTTACACATCAGTTATCTATGTCTGCATATATTTCAAAGCCAGTAGATGAAGAACAGAACAAAATAAAGAATGCCGGAACTATTTAAAATTGTGTTACTAGTTCTACATAAATTATGACTATTACATAGATTTGTAGGATGATTATTAAGCACCATTAAGATAACAAGGTTTCATTTTTTATGAACACACACTTAATGAATCTTTATTTAGTCTTTTCACAGACCTTTAGATATATGACCAAGATTTACTACATGTTTAAGAAGAGTAACAAAATCTGACAAAACACTTGACAAGTGTCAGAAAACAAATGAGAGCACAGAGTGGCTTTCTCAATATGGCAAAACAACTAACCTGGATTATTTTACAGTTCTTCAGATATCACATTGCAAGACACACAGCAAATCAAATTTAATGGACAACAGAGAGAAGACTCTCTTCTCTCTAAAATACAGCTTTTTAAATCCTGCCTTCTTTTGCTTCAGGAAGCCTCTGAAATCTTGTCTTTTTCATCTTTATAGGATGACAGCCAGCTGATTTTACAGTGAAACCCCTGAAGATCTATGCAGTGGATTTACATCTTCTGGTTCTATTGATTTATATCTCCTTTTCCTACAATATTACCTCCCTTTCTCTGCACACAGCAAGGCAAATTTGACTACACAATTAAGAACAGCATAAAAAATGCACACACATAAGGAAAACAGAGTATTTCCTCTCTTTCATGGCACTGCTTTAAACAGTGCATTCCCAGTACATTATCCCTGATGCAGCTGCAGTGTGACTGGCTGCAGAGGCCAAGGCTAAGGCTCCCCTGCACGACCCCAAGTGGAAGGATGTGGGTGGTACCCTGAGGTGAGGACGGGGCTTGGCCCCCAACCTCCATGAAAAATTCATCTTGACATGATCTACTAGAGTGCCAAAAGATTTTCCTTTGGCAACCACATTGTGTATTTCATACTTTATTATTATAGTAACAATAACAGCATATAAATGCTTAATCAGTAGATGGCTGAGATCATTATCAAGTCAGGCATACTGCTTTGCTTAGTTAGATTTACAATTTTTGTAGATGTTAGCATACAAACATTTAACAGCTCTTCAGAAGTTTCATTATCCTAGTAATTATCAAGCAAACTGATAGTAGAAATAAGTAACATTTATTACAGCTGTTCCATTCTCTCTAGAAAAACCATGTAACTAAAGCTCAGACATGTTTAATAATTTAGGTGAGCAGAAAAATACTGAAAATGAGTTTCTTAGACTAGTATCCCTATGGCATTGTTTAGTGGGACACAAGAACAATGAAGTACCAATATATGCTATACATGACAAAGAAACCAGAAGACAGTTACTGACTGCTGCTGCAAAAATCACATTTGAGAAATTCTGTTCCCTTAAGAGAGAAACGTGCAAAACTTACTTCTTTAGGAATTGGTATTTCCAACTTGGTTTCCTCTGGAGCTTTGATTGCAATCACAATCTGTTCTTGAAATGTCTGAATGCTACGGATATCCTGATATGTCACGTAAGCTAGTGTATACATTGGTCAAGGATCCTGTAAAGTAATTTGCTAGTGGGCAGAAGCAAAGAGTATGATATTAAGTTGATATTCTGCTTCAACATATCTTAAGAAAAGTGGTAAATAGTTCAGCTGAGGTTACTTTAATACCAGCTTTGTAAAATTTTTAGCTAACAAGTGGAAAACCTTTTTTCTTTATTTCTAGGAAGGAAAGAGCTTTTTAAAAGTTCAGTATTAAGAAACCAAACACATTCAACAAACAGTTTTCACAGATCCTGTCATTAAGTCTACAAAGCGGATGGAATAGTGCCCTTGAGAAACTACTTTGTTTTGCAATAACTATGCACATAAACAATTTCCTGGAAACCTATAGAATTACTTTTTTAACCAGGATAGGTAAGGGATAATGAAAAGTTTTCCTGATATTATACAGAAAATGGGCACATTTCATTTGAGCATAGACCTTAACATTCTGCTAGACAAGGTAGCCAAATAGTATGTTACTGTAAGCCAAGCCAAAAATCCAGTGTTTATGTCATATTAAAAGAAATCCCTTTTTGATTATCAAAGCCCATCTGAAAGACAAGACTGCATTGGAACTACTCTCAAGAGACGGAACAGTATTAGGACACAACCAACGTACCATTGTATCTTCTTGGCAACAGGCCACTGGGACTCTGTTTTGGGTCCTCTTTCTCATCTCACTAAGCAACTCAATCTCACTGGTAAGTCAAGACCTGACCCATAGTCAGCTTTACTCTATAATGGAGAGAACAAGTTGATGGTCAGGGTACTAAGACTACCGCCCCACTTCCATTCTTCTGCAGGGGAAAGGTCACACAAGTAGCAGTCCCCTGAGAACAGCCTAGGTTATGCATGATACTGTAAAGCAGGGCACCTGACTACTATATACTAATACGACATAACCACATAGTTTCCTAGTGTAAAACTCATTATCAAGTATTACTGCACACCTGTGGTACCAGCCTACTCTTACACCCAAGCATGTGCAACAAAAACCACACGCAAAAGTAATGCAAGAGATAAAAGGATATTTTGCATTTTCTTTGTCATCTGTTAGTTCAAATAACTGATGAGCACAATCCTTGATTAAATCATCCAGAGCTTCTTCCATAGCTGACAAGTCAGAAAGTTCATCTTTAAGGGTTTGCTGCTCTGGTGCTTTTCCAACAACTTGGTCAAGATTAGAACCTCTAGAAAAACATGAAGTTGTCTAGTATGTTTATATAAATAAGAGCCTGTTTACTGAACACAAAGTATACTAACAGAAACAACCAGGAACTCTGGGATACTTTACTCTGCTGAAATATGCTTCATTGTGCTTTTGCACTTGATACTTGTTAGCACAGTAATTAATTCAAACAGCCTAAGGATACAGCAGAACTTAAAATATTATGTATTAAAAGTAATTCAATATGCTTAAAAATACTCTTAAAGGTATAAACATTACTCAATATTGTTGGGTTTCATTCTTTAAGAAATTAGAAGTTTCAAAGCCAACTCACACCCACTGGATAAGATTCTTAGATCTTTTCTGAATTAAGTGGATTCCATCCAACACATTGGTGATGTCATACACTCTTCGTTTTCGTACTCCAAGTGTTCTTGCTACTTCATTTAAATCAAGGACACCGTCTGGAGCTGTTTTGACAAGATCCATGAATTTTCGGGTCAAATAAACCAAGGATGCATCAAATCGAGGCTTCCTGACTTTCAGAGTTCCTGTAAAGTTTTGATAGAATACTTAGAGTGAACTACTACACGAGTATGCAGCATTCCTTAAAAAAAAAAAACAAGGATGAAGTAACAATGAAGATGAGAGTCTGAAAGCACTGCAATTATTAACATTGACATTGCAAAGGCATCATATAAAGCCTGTTAACTACCTATACCTTCACTTGTTTGCAATGATTCTATACAAATAGAATCACGCGTCTTCATGCTTCCAGCATCCATGACTTCAGACTGCTGGTATGGGTATTAATAGCTGTGTAATTGTATGTTCTGTAGGCCATGAGCTCAGAATACTGAATGAATACCAGTGAAATCTTTGGTTAACTACAGATAGTGTCAGAACACTGCCACAAAACTGCAGCTCCATCATCTGCTCCATGACTCTTAAAATGTTTTTTCTTGCCTTTTTGGCACAGATTAACCAGTGTATCTTCCAAACTATATTCAGGCATGGTTTGGCAGTTAGCTTGGTTTCAGGGACTGTTTCAGTCTGGGTGTGATCCATCTGTTCTGGAGATGAAAACTTAATACATATACAAACTCTGGTTGTACTACTTGGCCTCAGGGCAAAAGAACTGGTCATACCACTGTTCAATTTACTAGTGCAACCAAGATTACAGATACCAGGATGCCACAGATTTAAGAGAGATTGCTGTGCTGTGTGTATCCGCTACCAGCACATTCACAGAAATGTTACTGGTGACCAGCTTGTTTCACTTTACATTTTTATGTATGCATAAAGCATAAAAGAGCACGTATTTCTAAGGCACAAAGAAGACGTGGTACCCATGCACTCATCTGATGCTAGAGCCAGTAAAAGACTGTCAAATCCCGCTATTACTTGTCTTTCCTTCTGCAAACCAAACCAGGTATTTCTTACGTGATCAAACTGTCTCACTGAGCAATATTCCTGTCTGATGCTTCAAAAGATCATGCGTGTGTGTGTGTATATTTGTGAATATGGGTGCACTGTAAGGAAACTTCCCTAGAAAACACTCTACTTCAAACTTTGGTATTTTTCCCAGGATGAAGGAGACATGCCCTTTTACTGACAGCATATCACCCACTCGATGGCTGTGAGATTGTGCACTCTTTAGCACGAAGTGACAGATTCACCAGCTCAGTTATGGACTGTGCTATTGTGAGATGTGTGAGACTATTCCATCAATGAGAAAAAAATAAACAGCCCCCAAACCAACACAAATTCACTCAAGCCTGTATTTACATTTATTAATACCACTTGAAAACAACATTTGCCAGCATGATGTTCCAGTTTTTTCTAACTCGCTTTTCCTGTACGTTATTTTCTTTATAGCAGTGGGAAGGTGTACTTGCAGCATAGGAAAAAACTATGGAGAATGTGTTGCTTCCTATCTTTTATTTCATTTAGTGTGCAGCATTCCTCCCATTCTGCCCACATTAGATACAAATCAATTTCTCATTCGCATACAACATGTACTCAGTGTTGTAAAAAGCATGAAATAGTTCAAGAATAATCTTCACACATGGAACATGGCAACTTACTTCTGACAAGCTGTCCACCATCGTTCACCTTCAGGTTGATCATTGGTGGCTGGGGAAAAAAACAAAGCCAAAACTGACATAAAACATACCTACACAGGAAGCTTCTCCAAAAGAAATACCCAAATCACCTCTAGATGCTACAGCCATCAGAGTGCTGACAATTCAACAGGTATTACTGTGAAGGTCTGTCACTGGATAGAAGGGATATATGCTCATTAATCCCTGTCAGAATTCTCAGCCCTTAATCTCAGCACACTTCACCTTTGGAAACAGGAACCACCACCAAACTCCCTAATGCTTAGGCAATGGTCACAACACAGATACCTGTATAAACTCTACAAACACTACTTCAGCTACTCCATGTAACAGCTCACATACAGAAGATACACTGCTATTATACAGCATCACAATTATATATTGTGATACATGACAGGCACCAGAGCCTACCCTTGTCAAGACACTGACATGACAAGCCTAAGCAGGTACTTCATTCCACCCCTTGCCCCAACTTAACAAAAGGAGTGTTTTCAAACTCAGACCCATTCCAGTTGGAAGAGATCCAAGAAGCTCTCTGGTTCAACCTCCTACTCCAATCAGGAACAGCCATCAGATTAGATCAGCTTACTCAAGGCTTTATCCAATTGGGTTCTCAAAATTTCGAGGGATGGAGGCTACACCTCTGTGGGCATCCTATTCCACTGCTTGGCCAAAGATTCACTCTACATCAAGTTGCAGCCTTTGTTGCTTTTTTGTTTCAATTCATGGCTATTTCCTTTCAGCCTCCCATTATGCATGGCTGTGGAGCATCTGGCACCAGCTTCTTGTTCACTTCCCACAAGTACTGAAGGGCTGCTGTGGCTGACATCCTGAGAGAACTGGCTGATGTCATTGAGAGGTTGCTCTCATGATCTTTGACAGATTGGAGCTCAGCTACAGCTTGGTCAGCCTCACTTCAGTCCCTTGGAAAAATCACAAAGCAAGTTCTCTTGGAAGCTATTTCCAGGCACGTGAAGGAGAAGGTGACTGAGAATAGCCAACATGACTATAATTGCAACCTGATTACCTTTGGTGATGAAATGACTAGGTCTGTGGATCCAAAGCTTCAGATGTTACCTACCTGAGATTTAGCAGGACTTTTGATAAGGTCTTCTGTTTTTCATTCTGTATTCTTTCTGCTGTCCCCAGAGTGCAAACATAGCTGTGCCCATCCCTCAACACAGTTACGTGTCATCAGTATCAGGATGCCCCTGTCCTTACAGACCTACATCTCTTTGACTCCTCCAACTGTCAAAGTTGTGTTCCCTAAAATCCCAACTACCTGTTGGTAGTTCAGCTGAAGTCTGAAGCCTGAATAAGCTAGAATCCAGGTTCTGTACTCTGTTACTAGCCCGTCTCACTACACTCTGGGTCTTGAACTCCAGTATTCCAAGCCAAGGCTGCTAATGATTACCACATCCTCAACTTTCCCCTTTTATGAGAAACAGATTCAGGAAAGCATCATGACACATCTAAACACCTACATAAAGATGTTGAGCCAAACATCATCAAGGGGTGTTTCTTACAATCATGATCTCCAATAGTAACAGATTTCCTATTACCAGCATAAAACTCCTGTAAACTTTTTCATGGCCTTAAGACAATACTACCAAGCAGTATTTAGCCCAAAAGTCAAGTAGTAGTAAGAAATAGTAAGAAATTTCCCATTACCAGCATAAAAACTAGCCCAGAACTAGCCCAAGGTTAATGAAAAATAAGCACCTTCAAGAAGCTTCATAGAATTAAACGTAGACCCGTTTTTTGTTAACTACCCCGTAACGCCACTAAAGGTAGCAGTGGAAGCTCATATAAGATCACCTGAACATCATAGATCTTCAGAGACTAACAGAACAAACATTTGTAGTCTGTTTCTCTCAGACATAGCTACAGCCTATTTAACTCTATGAAGAGGCCAGAGGCAAGAAAACCACCCCTTGGCACCATGACTAACATCACCACAGTCTCCGGGGCAGCCTGCTACAACGCAACGAGGGAAAGGAGCATCTCACTGCCCTCCGGCTAGGCCGGACACACCTTTCCATCTCGGGGATCTCCCGCCGGGCAGGTGAGAGGAAGGAATTTCGGGAATGCCCTCACAGGCTCCCGCGGTGGGATCAAAGCGTTGCCGTGCCGTCCCGCCCTTTCCCCATCCACAGGCAGCGCCTCCCTTCCC